AGTGTCATATAAATCATATATGTGTTTGTTATAAAGGGGAGAGCAGCTATTTAGTGGTACATTTGTATTTTCATTTATTGGCTATAAAAGTTTCTTTTTTTCCCTATATTATTAAAGAATCTTATGTTGTAATTGGTTATATTAACTCTTTTAACTCTCAATAAGTTGTATTCAATTATATTGGATATATCTTGTGTGTATAGAACTACTTATTTAGTTAATTTAATATGCATGCTGAAAAATCAGTGCGCGGTCCATTTTCATAGTTCTCTCCCTTGGACTGTAAATGGCCATTATAATTGATTATGTCACAACTTATTTAGTTTCCGATGGAATTTAATGGGGTTTTCTTCTCCAAGTCAGTAAAACATTGTTGTTAATAGATATTATTATATCAAATTAATAAACTATAGACCTTTTCTTGTAGGAGAAGTTAAATTAGGGTAAAATAACCTCATTTATTGTTGGATAGACTTCTTATCTTGAAATTGTTAGGCTATATAGGAGAATCATTGTAACTTTTATACAAGTTCATAGAATTTCAAAGGGATTTTTTGGTTTAGACCCTTCAAGATGTTTGTTAATAATTATCATACAATTGTACAGATTTTTATAACTGTTATGGTTATTTTTGGGATTTATTAAGCCTAATCTTATTAAATTAGGGTTATTTCACTAAATATTTTCTATTTTTAGGAGAATCTTAATGAATTTGGTTATTTAAGTAAAAACATGATCCTTATTGATTTAATTTATAGGGAATATCTATAGATTAATTTGGCTCTTCTATAGTTTAGGTTATTAGGTGATATTTAATGCAAAAAAACTAATCTGGTATGGACTTTACTAGAGATACAACTTACAAATTATATGAAATAAACAGGTGTCAAAAAGTAAAAAAAGGACTAAAGTAAACAAACTGGGTCCCCATAAACACCTGTTTTAAGTGATAGATAGATAGATATATGATGGTGAAACATTGCAATAAATAGAGTTTTGATGATATCTTCAGTTTAATGTCAGAAGGGAATAGGAAATGCATGTTACTTTAAAGACCTGTCATGACTTTTAATACTATAGGTACTACTGGGATCTTTATCAAAATTATATGTAAATAAACAATTCGTCGCCTTATTCTAAAAATGTCCTAACTCCATTTTTACCAAAAATGAGATAACTGCACATTTATTTTAGTATTAGTTTGTTCTATCTCCAAAACAAAACTTGTGAAGATTTACGTCATACTTTTGTAGATATAGCGTCTGTATTTTGTTCTATGTCCAATGGAAAGCTTTGCTGTTAGCCTTTTTTCGTCGTATCTCCAACACATGTAACACTTTTAGGCTAATCTTTCGTGCCAGCCAATCAAGTTGAAAAGTATATGTCATGTGACCTGAAGGGGCCTGACAATATAATTGTTCTAACTCCAGTGATAACAACAACAATCGTATCTAAATCAGCCAGCTAACTAGGAAAGTAACAGTTAAAAAATGATTTCTGAAGCATGTAAGTAATATAATTTAGCTTTTATACGTTTTATAAGTGAATTTATATTTTGTATTAGTATTTGTTTCATAGTATTATCATTATTTTATATATATTTCTCAAAGTTTCACAATCACATAGTTTCGGATAACTATATTCGGATATTCGTATGAACTATTTGGAACTATTTGGAGTATCGAACATTGTTGTTGTTTAATTGTTAATGATAATATTTTGTCCATTTCAGGTCAGACTTACTTACATTATCAGACGTTGTCCTTACAGAAATGTTGTCTCTTAGAACTTGTGACTGCAGTTAGCAGAACTTCCACAAAACTATGGAATTTTATATCAACAACATCAAGTCTGTGAGGAAGTTTTGACTTGCCATCAGTTTCAGATAAATCATTGTTTTAAGTCTTAAAATATTCACAAAATAAATAGATATTTAACATTCCAATGGGATCGGAATACCACTGTCTTGTCAAAACATAGATTTTAAGTTTGCATGCGAGTTTCAGTGTTCTCCGGGTCATCAATGATTATATTTATTAGATAATAGCAGAATTCTTAAAGCACAATACGGCATGATCTAAAATGTTGCCGGCTCGGTTTGATTTAGCCTGTTCATGGAATGTCCAGTATCTACGTTGTGCGACAAAAACCAATATGGGAGATCGCAAAATTCACTGGATGTAAAATCTTGAAAACGACAATTTTACAATCTTGAAAGATTGTTAAGAACTTGAGCAGATATTTTTTCATACGTTGATATTAAACCACAAACAATACTTGAGACTTTGAATGCATGTGGTATTGACTTAAATTGTGTGAATTAAAAAGAATTATTGGTAACATTTTAACATTGATAGAAACGATGGCAAATGTAAACTATGTATATATAACTCTATTGAATCAGAATACCACTTCCTTTTATGTTGTCCAATTTATACTGTTATAAGAACCAAATATTTAGGAAACATTTCATGGCCTACTATACAAAAATGTTCGACTATATTGTCCACTAATAACAAAAAGCTTATTCTTAAATGTGCTCACGTACTATGTTCATAATGCATTTAAGTTGAGGCAACAGTCTCTTGAAGATGTAAATGCTTCTTAATTAGTTTCATTCTTGTACTCTTTTTGTTATATATTGTATGATGTAATGTTTGTAACTATTTAACTTTTGGCCATATTTTTCATGATACTCTGTTAATGGCCAAAGGTAATGTTTATTTGCCGATTTGCCAATAAAATGAAATGAAATGGTAATATAATTTATATCTGTATCATTTAATCACAATATTATAGATGGTTACAATCATTTCATTTTTCATAATGGTTCAAAATATGTCAGTTTGTTTTAGCAAGTTCATTGATTAAAAATTTTGTAAAATGTTTGTTTTTCTTTTTTTTATGGCACAATTTTATATTGTTATTATCGAGAAAGGCCCACGTTGGAAATCACGTGAATGAATTTACACTTTGACATAGTAATTTACGAAGATAAAGTGATTCAGTGTCAGCGGTTCAACCACTCTGGCTGAAAATGTTCTTTAGAATGTAAAAATCTACTTATATTCTATAGTAAAATTATTACTCTTAAAAAATGCTAACTCAAAAAGTATTTAAATTTTAGCCTTACTTTGTCATATCTCCGCAAACTCATTTTTAGAGTAATTTTTTAATCTAAAAATAAACATTTTTGGTCTATCTCCAAATTTTTTTTTTAATTTTTACAATTACTGCAAATTATAAAGGTATATAACAAAGTGCTTTCATCACATGTTGACATCTATAATACCAATCCAGAAGTCCACACTGTTAGGAGTTATTAAATAAAAGTTACAACGTCTGGAACCTTTAACCCCTTTTTCCCAAAAAAGAGGAAATTGTAGATACACCATTTTTAGAATAGGGCGACGAATTTAAGAGCTTAAATCGCACTACTATTGCAAATGAAATAAAAAGTCATAAAATGTAAAACATGTAGAACATCAGGTTAATATTGTCTGCACTTAAGGCTCGAACCCTGGTTTAATAATAAGAGTTTGTGACTTTCTCCTAATTGATAGGGGTAAAATACCGGCTCGAAGAACAGTGTTCCAAGGGTTAGCTAGGTGTTTGAGCCCCTGTCAGGCTGTGACATATCAATATCAATCGTTAATAAGAATAAAATTGGAAGTGACGGGCAGCATATATGCAGACTATAATTATTCTCTCATAATATCAGTATTTCTTAATTGATACATTTACATGTATAATGGGAAATATTACAACACTATTCAGAATTTGAGGGCAAAATCAGGAAATGTTTCAAAATCATCATGTTTGTATTTTTCTGGGTTTTTTTTGTGTGAAAATAAATTAATGTATTTATTTCTTAACACTTTATGTTCACTGATTGTCATCAGTTTAAAGAAAGTTTCAAAGGTTTATTGATATTGTTGACTCGGGTTCATAAATCTAAGGCATTCAAAATTGAAAGCAAAATTCATGTGTATACATGTATATTATATACACCTGGAAATAAGTTATAATAAATAAGCACTACCCGGAAATTTTATATGTGATTGAAGCAATGTCATGAGATGATGTCTTGATTGAGCTAGGAAACAGTAATTTGATAACTAGTGATACCAATTTAGTAATCATAAACCAGTAAATTTATGAGTTATAGTAATCATAAACTAGTAAGTTTATGAGTTTAGTTTATTCTTAACCAAATTATTGAAGCATAAGGAAATGTGTTGGTTATTTTTACCAAAAATGTAAGTGTTTATGAGCATGATGTTAGAGCGTTAACAAAACATTTACTGGTGGATATTTTGGGTAAATTTTGTTGATTATATAACTTAAAATGACATTATGTAGCCAAATTTTTAAAAATTTGTAATAACCGCCATGTTCCCGGATGACAGCCTCAATCCTTCTCTTCATACAACCAGAAAGGCGTCTAATGCGATATTGAGGTAAATTTTGCCATTCTTGGTGCAGAGCTTGTTCTAGATGGTGCAGGTTGACTTGGTACCATCGCCCAAATAAAATTTAAAATTTCAATTGTCATCTTGTCCAAATTGAGGCAAAATGCCGGGTGTGCTTTTAACTTATTTCCAGTTGTATATGTACATAGAAATTATAGAAATGTTTCAAATTTAGAAACTAAGAATTCTAATAATATTTTAAAACATTTCATATTAAAAAGACATGTTACCTGGTATATATATTTGATATGAGTGACTCACATTTTCAATTAAGAAACTTTAGATACATTTACATACAAACATGTATTTTAAAACATAACTCATTAAAGGGATATGCTACACAAAAAAATGAATAACAAAAAACAAAAACAACATTTAATTGATATTATTTACTCAAAAGACATTAAATAAATGAAATATTAAAACTTCCCAAAATGTTTGTCTATATAAATAATATATAATGAGGTTTTGAACGTATATATTATAAGTTAATATATGTGAATATATTACCTGCCAAGATTTTATATTACCAAAGCCATTAGGCAAGGTTTTTTATCTTTGCAGGTAATATATCCACATATATATCACTCCAAAACCAAACTAATAATTTTATTACCCTCCCCCTGCCGAGTTCAGACGATTTTAAAATAAATCATTGCTACTTCAAATGAAACGTCGAAATAAGATTCCCTTTAGGGTACCCCTTCACCACAACGTGACGTCACATAAATACATGACTAACTTTCTTTCGAAACAAGAGAAAAAGAGTAGTATGTTGAACGCATTTTTTTGGAATTAATATCAAGCTTTCACAAGGTCATATTTGTTTTCAATAGTGATGAGAATATGTATCATTACTCTATTTTGGTAAATATTTATCATTTGACAGTTAAAAACTGCTTGTAAATCGGAATTAACATCGTGTAAAATCAAAATGTACGCGCATCGCCACAGCCCATGTTGTTTACAACGTGGGGTACCCCATGGGGAAATTTAGTGCGTATATTACCCGTCTGGCTCGGTAATATCAATTTCTTTAGGGTGATCAATATCCAATCAAAAAGGCAGAAAAAATCTTGAAGTGTAATAAATGAACATATGTTAAACGAAACTAAAATGCAGATGTTATCACAGAGTAACTTTTAAACACATCATGTAACAAGCGCTACAAAAACAAGCATGGCAAAAAGTACAAGTGTGGAACATCATGTAACAAGCCCTACAAAAACAAACATGGCAAATATTACAAGTGTGGAACAAGTCTAAGTCGTTACATAATATGGATACTTTTATGGTCCCAAAGTTCACTTCGATATTTAACGCAAAAAAATGAATTTCTGAACACTGGTCAAGTACAGACCGCCTGTTTTTTCCTTTATAAGGAGAAATGTTTTGGTACCTGTGACTGCTTAGTGTATTCATTTTGAGGACATCAATACAATATTGGATGAAAATTTCAGAAATAAATAAACAAGAAATGTCGAATGATACATATGCCCCCCACCTTTCTAGCCCTTAACTCACATTATTGGTATATTCTGTTATAGAAACTTGCCATAAAAGGGTACATGGAAGTGTTCAGTTGTGATAAAAAGAAAAATAATGAAGAGTTTGCCATAAAAAGTTTTCAAGATAATGAATGGAAACCATTCTGACAATTAAGGTACCTGTGACCTAGTGACCCCTTAATCAATAGGGGTTATCTTGTAGTTAATGAAATATGAAGACTTTGTGATCAATACTTTATAATATAATCAGCGAAAACCATATGGTCTACCGATGGACAGAACGACAGACATTAGCAAAACAATATCTCTTCAAGGGGACATGAAAAATTGCCTATATATCCTTTTAAAACATATGAGTACATTTCACAGAAATGTTTGGAATTATATAAATCAGTAAATTTACAGTTATTATTCATTTTTTTAACATCACACAATAAAATACATGTAAAGTAAAATACATTTCAAGGAAATAAGTGAAATCCTAAGAATCCTAAGAATCAGAAACTTAAGGTCTTTATACATTTATAACATTTTTCACTATAACAGACAAATTGCAGTGAATGCTTCACATGATTCAGATTAACTTGCATGTCTTATTTATTACACATCAAAACAATTGTAACAAATTAATACATATAAGTTAAACAAGAAGCAGTCAAAATCTGCCAAATCCCCTGTCTATAAAAAAAAAATTGATCCATTTCCTACCATGACATAATACAACAAATCAAAGGGCATTAACGCAAAAGGTGAAGGATAAAACACTGAAGATTCAAGATGATATTTCTGATTTATTTTTGTGTTGTAGCTTGGATAAAATTAGGATACATAACAGTTAATTGTGAGGTTATCATCCTAGAAGTTTGCACTCTTTCACCTCATGATTTTAATTAATAATTCAAATTTACTCTGTGATCTGATCAAAACTGTCCAAGCCAAAATTAATAAAACTCAATTACTGTTATTGCGCAATGCATTTATGATATTAATGATGGATGGATGTATTGAAAGATAGATAGACAATTTAATTGATGTAAACAGTACAGTTTTTGGTCATACATTTGCATATACCTATACAACATAATTTTAACATGTGATTTAACAAACAGTAAACACAATTTACATGGTCAACATGTTGTTTGTGGAGGATGAATAAGATGTTTACATACATATCAATACCCTACACAAAATCCATAAAATTCCATATTGGCAAATTTAACAAAGCAAAGACTTCCTAAGTATAAAAGCTTGATGTTCACTCTTAAAAAAATCTGTAAACTTTGTAACAGTTGCTCTCCTATAATAAAAGGCTTTAATATATTGTTTTCTAAAATGTTCGTACAACATACATTATATATCGAAATGTTATTCATCTCCAATATCTCTGTTTTGACAAAAAATACAATAACACTCATTTCTTTCCACTCTGTTTCTAGAATAGCCTACAGTATCAAAAGCCAGTTTGTGTGAAAATAATCTTAGTTTTGATAAAGCATTTCTTAACTTGAATGGCAATATATGTAAATATGGTCCAAATCTAAACTCTGTTTTAAATTGCTTTTATATATAGCCTTAATGTTCCACATTCCTGAAATCGTTGGAACCAGTTTCGCTAAGTATCTAGCCAAGCTATAAAAATTAGATGAAATTTAGCTGAATCAACACAAGATGTGTTGTTCCAAAATCATAACAGTCCAACAGACTTTTTACTGGATTATACATTTTGAAGATCCAACATTTTTACACAACATAGCATGTATGACTTTATGAACCATAAAATATCAAAAGAAATTATAGTGTTGAAATGGAAAGACAATAATATGAAGTTCTTATACACTTTTTTCAAACAAAATTCTAAGTTTTAAGAGGAGATACCTCCTAAAATATAGATGAAAGAGTTATAAACCTTATAATAAACTAGAAATGTGTCCATAGGACACTGGTGCCCCCACCGCGCCACTGTTCTGTCAATCTAATGACTCTAGGTCAAATATTTTTTGAAAACTAAAAATCTTTTACTAAGTAAAGGGCAAGAACTTTACAAATACTGAATTAATCCACAAGCAAACCCCAAGGTGCATAAGTACACATGCTGACCAACATTCTTGTAAACTTTCAGGCCTTCAAGTGAAACACTTTTTGAGCTATGCATGAACAAGTTGAAAATTGCAAATTTATACTACTGTAACTCAAGGGCAATAACTATAACAAAACTGAAAAAAATCCACATGCAAAGTCCCAGGTGCATAGCTTCACAGTGATGTGAATCATTATTCCTGTAATTTAGTGATGTTGATCATTATTCCTGTAAAGTTGGTTGATTCTAACTCAAGCACTCAAGGAACAGATAACATAATGAAACGGTTTTTACTAAGTCAAGGGAAATAACTCTTCAAAAAGTGGATAAATCTAAAAAGCCAAACCCCAGGTGCAAAACTTAATATGCTGAGCAACCTTCCCGTAAGGTTTAATGACTCAAGGTCAAATCCTTTTTGAGATACATGCGACATAAGCTGAAAATTGCAAAAAATTTCTAAGTCAAGGGCAATAACTCTAAAAGTACTAAATAAATCCAGACGAAAACAACCGGGTGCACAACTACACATGGTGATCAACATTCCTGTAAAGTTTCATGACTCTTGGTCAAATACTTTTTGATTTACATGCAACACAAGTTGAAAATTGAAATTTTTTTACTAAGTCAAGGGCAATAACTCTAAAAATACTAAAAAAAATCCAGACGAAAATACCAAGGTGCACAACTACACATGCTGATCAACATTCCTGTAAAGTTTCATGACTCTAGGTCAAATATTTTTTGAGTTACATGTGACACAAGTTGAAAATTGCAAAATTTTATTAAGTCAAGGGCCTGTAAAAATTTCATGACTCTAGGTTAAATACTTTTTGAGGTACGTGCGACACAAAAGAGAACGGCCGGACGGACAAGGGTAAATCTAAATGCCCGCAACTAAATGGGGGAAAATAAAAGCAATGAATAAGAGCATTTATCATCAGTGAAAAATAGATACTAAGAAGATAAATGTAAAATTCTAAGTTCAAAGTAAACATAATTATTGAAATAGAAGCCCTTCAGATACAAACACTGTCACTGAAATGTCAATATTCAAACACAATTTTTTCTTGTTTTACGGATCAAATCCCCAATTTCCACTTCTGTCTCTCTGCAGCCTTCATCGGCCTCTAAGTAGGTTATATTCTTGTAACAGGCTACGATGAAGGCCAAAGCTTCATTCAAAAGCAGATAAGCCGAGTAATTGAGTGATAGTCTGAAACTAGAACTATCGCTGAATGCGATTCATACCCCCACCAATGTCCTTGACAGAAGACCACTTGGAAAGGTGGTTAAGGGAATAACTTATGTGGCACAAATACATAAAAAGAAATTATCTCTGGTGAAAAAAAGACTAATTGTACAGGTAATAGTATAAATATATATTATCAAATCATGTTCAAAACAGTTACAAATAACCTTTCATTTTCCCAATGTATTAAACATTTTATTTATAAGTCAATTTTGACCTTCAAGTGTGGCCTTGACCTTAATCTGGCACAAGGGTAAGATGGGTTTTGCACATCACCCAGTTTGGTTGAACATTTGAGTAAAGTTTGAAGAAAATCCTTCCATTAGTATAGAATTTATAGAGTAGACACAATATATTGTCTAGTATTGGTTGTATGTAAATTTGATGACTTAAAAAGGGGCATAACTTTGTCAAAATGCAATACAGAGTAATGAAACTTGGCCCGCATATCTTATTTGCCACACCTCATATATCTTTTAAGTTTCAAGCAAATGCCTGTGCTAGTTTCAGAATTATTCAAGTACATGTTAAAATTTAAGAACATTTTCTAAGTCAATTTTTGACTTTCAAGTGTGACCTTGACCTTTAGCCGGCACAAAGGTGACATGGATTCTACACATAACCTTGTTGAGGTGAACATTTGAGTAAAGTTTGAAGAAAATTCTTCCATTAGTATAGGATTTATAGAGCGGACACAACATATTGTCTAATATTTGATTGTATGTAAATTTGAAGACTTAAAAAGGGGCATAACTTTGGTAAAATGCAATACAGAGTTATGAAACTTGAACAAACAGCATATCGGAATTGTGACCCTTCAAAAATATTTTAAGTTTCAAGCAAATACCTTTTCTAGATTTAGAAATATTCAAATAAATGTTAAAATTTAAGAATATTTTCTAAGTCAATTATTGACCTTAAAGTGTGACCTTGACCTTTAACCAGCAAATGAGTGACATAAGTTCTGCACATCCCCTGGTTGAGATGAACATTTGAGCCAAGATTGAAGAAAATATTTCAATTAGTGTAGGACTTACAGAGCGGACATGACATACTGTGTAATATTAGATTGTTTGATATTTGACCTTCAATTGTGACCTTGACCTTGAGCTGACACATGGGTAGCATGGATTCTGCACATCCCCATGTTGAGGTGAATATTTGAGCCAAGTTTGAAGAAAATCTTTCAATTAGTGTAGGACTTACAGAGCAGACACAACATACTGTGTAATATTTGATTGTTTGATATTTGACCTTCAATTGTGACCTTGACTTTGAGCTGGCAAATGGGCAACATGGGTTCTGCACATCCCCTTGTTGAGGTGAACATTTGAGCCAAGTTTGAAGAAAATCTTTCAAGTAGTCTAGGACTTACAGAGCGGACACAACATACTGTGTAATATTTAATTGTTTGATATTTGACCTTCAATTGTGACCTTGACCTTGAGCTGACACATGGGCGACATGGGTTCTGCACATCCCCTGGTTGAGGTGAACATTTGAGCCAAGTTTGAAGAAAATCTTTCAAGTAGTGTAGGACTTACAGAGCGGACACGACATACTGTGTAATATTTGATAGTGTTTGATATTTGACCTTCAATTGTGACCTTGACCTTGAACTGACACACGGGCAATATGGGTTCTGCACATCCCCTTGTTGAGGTGAACATTTAAGCCAAGTTTGAAGAAAATCCTTCATTTGGTATAGGAGTTATAGAGCGGACACGAAAATGGAGACGGACCGACCGACCGACTGACGGACCGACCGACCGACGCGACAAAGCGAATCCATTTTAGCCCCCCCCCCCACATTTTGTGGTGGGGGTATAATAATCCAAAGATAACTGGTGCTACATCATTTATATTATGAGTTTTATTATCGGATAAAAGTAGCATAATTAAGAGAAGTAAAAAATCAGCAAAATACTTATTCAGTGTTTTTCCAAAACAATAAAATAATTTGTAGTTAACAGAAGAACAAATGTACTAAACATACATAATTTTTACATCAACTTGTTTTCAAACTAAAAATGTATCATCACGCCACGGATGCCCCCACATGCATCCATAATTTCAAATGTTATGAAAATATAAAATTCCAAATTTGCTTGCACAAACCATTTTTTCATTCTAGGTCAAAGCCCTTAATTTTATTTTAGTGTCATGATTTTTTTTCAAAGAGGTTTACATCTTCATTTTAAAAATTTTGTAACATGTTAGTGCCATGGATTTATTTAATCTACAATGATGTTAAATTTAGCAATAAAAATTCTCTCACCAGTGATAATAAATGCAATTTTTTTCAGTTAAAAGGTAATTAATTGTATATCAATTTGTTTATTTTCTAGCTAGTATACTGTTATGCCAGTGTTTCCTATGTAAACAATAGTTAACATGACTAGTAACATTTAAAGGATAGCATTCAGGGACATACGTTTGGTTTCTGCAGAATAACTTGTACAGACATGAATTTGTCTGTACACACATCATCATGTGGATTCTTAGTCCTGTTGCTGGATACCTGCAAATATAACCATAAAACTGATTTTTGTAAGTGTAGGTTATTTTTCATTAGTAAGCATTCACAAAGTAAAATTGCTCAAAAATGAAGCAGACACTCGACCTTTTTAATTTCGTAAAATGCTTACAAACGAATACTAACCAATTTAGTGTTAGAAATGCTTTTTTTCAAATCTTATTAATTATATGGGAACATTCACAGGTGGCAGTATCGGTGTTTGGACACCCCACCCCTATCTGCCCCTGGACTCCTACTACAACCCTGAACAAAACAAGAACTGTCGGAGGACAGTATTGGCTCGACTATTCAAAAATTTGTCACAAGAGTGTTTATTGAGTATAATAATGCTAGTTACCTATGAATATATAAAATTGACCGAAAAGGTACAAAGGCTTGTTATTAAGATGTTTTATCAAGTAAATCATTGCTTTATTATTAATAATGCATAAAAATGTCCCAAAAACTAACAAACTCTTCAATTGTTATGGAGATAACAGCTTACAAGCAAAACTTTTCCATGAATTTCTAAGTTGAAAAAGGGGAGAAAAATCAGCCTAAATGCAAGATAGAATTATGGACCTTGGTCAGTGACCTACAATTAAATTCTTAATGCATATGTGAAGTTTTAAATAAATATCTTTAATACTTATTGAGATATGTAAAACTTGCATGTAAACATTAACCTAGAGACTAAGTAGAAAAGGGGATATGAATCAGCCTAAATGCGAGTAGAGTTAAGGAACTTGGTCAGTGACATACAATTATGACTCTCCTATTATGACCCTAAGTACATGTGTAAAGTTTCAAGTAAATATCTTTGAAGACCTTTAACCAAAATTTCTAAGTTTCAAAGGGGCAAATAATTCTGCAAATATTGCAGACAGAGTTATGCAATTTTGCAAACTGATGTACATTGTTACTATAAAAAAGTATTGTAAATTTCAATTGAATATCTCAAGCAATAATTGAGATATTTGACTTTACAAAAAAACTTTAACCAACATTTCTAAGTTATAAAGGGGCATTATTCTGTAAATATTATAGGTACAGTTATCCAACTTGTCAATCTGATGTACATTGTTACTATAAATAAGTATTGTAAGTTTCAACTGAATATCTCAAGCAATAATCGAGATATTTGAATTTACAAAAAACTTTAACCAAAATTTCTAAGTTAAAAAGGGGCATACTTCTGTAAATATTGTAGACAGAGTTGTCCAACTTGTCAATCTGATGTACATTGTTACTATAAATAAGTATTGTAAGTTTCAATTGAATATCTCAAGCAATAATTGAGATATTTGAATTTACAAAAAACTTTAACCAAAATTTCTAAGTTAAAAAGGGGCATAATTCTGTAAAAATTGTAGACAGAGTTGTCCAACTTGTCAATCTGATGTACATTGTTACTATAAATAAGTATTGTAAGTTTCAATTGAATATCTCAAGCAATAATTGAGATATTTGAATTTACAAAAAACTTTAACCCTTTACCACATATATACGCGAAACAACGCATTTTCGACCCCCCCCTTTTTTAGGCCTCAAATAGTGAAAAAATGTCCTATTAGGGCCCCAAACACATGTTTTCGTTTGAGAAATGTTGGTCAAAAAATTGAGCACTTTTTCGGCGCCGCCCCCCATCCAAAAGATACATCAGGGGGTTGCCAGAAGGGGGATGTGCCCCCTTCTGTTAGGGGGGTGTGAAGGGGGGCGGAGTCCCCCTCATCGCCAAGAAAATTTTGGACTTGTGAGAGGCTAAAAATGACCCCAGGTCGATCATAATATAACGTGTAACCAACGCTGAAAAGCCTTTGACTCTATATCAATCCCTTGAGAAGTTGCAGCACTTTGAAATAAATTTTGATTGAAAAAATCGAGGCAAAATAGTGATTTTTGGCAATTTTGAGATGTCCCCTCGTTGCCATGGTAACAGGAAATTTAAGACTGAGCATGTCGTCACAAAGGCAATGGTCCAGTCAACATTTGTGCAAAGTTTGATTAGTATTGATGCATTTTTCATAGTTTCATAGCAGTTTGAACTTGTAAGAGGAGGCTTTTCAGTAAAAATGGCCATTTTTCACAATATGCTCATGGGGGAAAGGGTTAACCAACGCAGACGCCGACGCGGACGCTGACGCCGACGCCGGGGCGACTACAATAGCTCTGATATTCTTCGAATAGTCGAGCTAATAATTCAAAACGCTAAGCCTTACTATAATGTACTGAATACAAAACAACCGATAAATTATATATTAAAAAAATGTCCACTATCAAAATTATTGTTTAGATAACTATAATTTTGATAGTGGAATTTTTTTTTCTTTTTTTCTTTTCTTAAACGGCCACCTGTGGGAACAATTTGATGTTAAGTTTGATTGAATAAAAGTGTTAACTATACAATTTGTTATTCTTTTTTCGTATGATAGAATAAATGCATGTACTTTGTATATCAAATCATTTACGTAAGTGGTTACTTGTGCTGGAAATACAATGTTTACTCATATGAAAAAGTGTGTAATGCCAAAAAATTGTGAATATCAAACTTACTTTGGGTCCAGCATTTGAAACAGGAAATGCTTTTGTAAACGAAAACACAGTTGTTCTATAGTCTGAAGAAAAATATAATAATATTAACACACAATTATACATTATAAAACGGTTAACAAGGCGTCCCATAACAATATTACACAAGAAATATGATGGAACATATGAAATTGAGGCTGTTTGTTGTGTACTAAATTATCTAATTTTAAAAGAAGTTAGCATAATAGGTATTTTTTCCAAAATTTTATAACAAAATGAAACAGAAGATATTATGTTTTACATGTATTTTTTACTTATTCTCCAACAAAAAACAAAATATTCATTTTGTATAGTTTTCATATTAAATTATCAAGTTTGGTATCAAAAGAATTTATATTGAGAAAGAGTATCAATTTCATTAATAGAACCTTCTGCTAATATTGCTTGATTTATAAATTTTTACTTAAATATTATTCAAATTATTGAAAGCAGCACACCTCAAGATTCATGTTAATTTTCATGAAAAATTTGAAAATGGGTTTAAAAGAATGATATTGCCAAGAAACCATAAAGAAGCAATTTGCGCATTATCTACGACACCTACAATCCATGTACCAAAAAGAGTTAAAATATGCTAAAATAGCCCTTACTGCGTTAGTGACGTAGTAGGAATATACTTAAAAATACTGAAATATCAGTCATTAATTGCCCAAAATATGTAAATAATTATTTGTATCTGGAATATTTTGTCCTTGACAGTCAAGGTCAATTTAAGGTCAAAGTCATATGTAAATCATTCAATATGTTTGTTTGGTAGCAAGTCTTGTTTAGTCCAAGTATAAATCAAATCCATACATTAATAACAAAATAATGACAATTTAACAAAAATTCACTAATTTTACCTTTATGGTCAAGGTAAGTAAAGGTCATTTCAACCTTTAATAACATCATGTCCAAAATGTTGTTTTGTCAAAGGATGAAGAAAATCAATTTATTTACCACCAACTTACAGTCAATTATATCATAAATCAGTGAAAATTCAATCATTCAACCTTCAAGGTCAAGGTCATAGAACAGCCAAATATTCCTGCACCAATCAATATTCAAATTATCTGTCAATTGTATGTATTGAAATACATATGAAAACCTTTAAAAGTAACTGTTTGGAAAGACCATGTATAATTCTGACATTAAAAAACATAAAGAACAGTACTTAAAACTTTTCTTTGTACTATTTCAGGTATGCTAAAATTATATTGATTTCCTTTTAATATTTTTAAAAAGTAATGTGCCTGGCATGCAAGTCATGTTCAATAATATGTGAAGTAATTTTTTATTGGAACAAATGGCTGATGAAATGGCCTTGATATAGTATGGTTACTTACATATTGGACAGTAAAGAAATTAAAATAACAAGACAAAAATACAAGATTTATACAAATATACAGATGAAAAGGTATGTGAAATATAACAAATATGAACAACATGACATATATCTTACTTTAGGCTTGAAGTAATTGACACCATAAGAATGTTTTCTCCTAATAACATTTGCATAGTTTTCATCAAATATGTGATGTCTTTGATGACTTTCTTTTTTGCTGTAGAGAAATAAACATTTTGCAAGCATATAATTTAATCATGGTGCAGGTAAATGTTTTGTTTCTTCATTTTTCACAGAAAATTCTGAAGTCGCTCACCTGTATATAGGACCCCCAGGGCGGGGCCAATTTAAACTAGAACTATCGCTGAATGCGATTCATACCCCCACCAATGTCCTTGACAGAAGACCACTTGGAAAGGTGGTTAAGGGAATAACTTATGTGGCACAAATACATAAAAAGAAATTATCTCTGGTGAAAAAAAGACTTATTGTACAGGTAATAGTATAAATATATATTATCAAATCATGTTCGAAACAGTTACAAATAACCTTTCATTTTCCCAATGTAACAAACATTTTATTTATAAGTCAATTTTTGACCTTCAAGTGTGACCTTGAACTTAATCTGGCACAAGGGTAAGATGGGTTTTGCACATCACCCAGTTTGGTTAAACATTTGAGTAAAGTTTGAAAAAAATCCTTCCATTAGTATAGAATTTATAGAGTAGGCACAATATATTGTCTAGTATTGGTTGTATGTAAATTTGAAGACTTAAAAAGGGACATAACTTTGTCAAAATGCAATACAGAGTAATGAAACTTGACCTGCATATCTTATTTGCCACATCTCATATATCTTTTAAGTTTCAAGCAAATGCCTGCGCTAGTTTCAGAATTATTCAAGTACATGTTAAAATTAAAGAACATTTTCTAAGTCAATTTTTGTCTTTCAAGTGTGACCTTGACCTTTAGCCGGCACAAAGGTGACATGGATTCTGCACATAACCTTGTTGAGGTGAAAATTTGAGTAAAGTTTGAAGAAAATTCTTCCATAAGTATAGGATTTATAGAGCGGACACTACATATTGTCTAATATTTGATTGTATGTAAATTTGAAGACTTAAAAAGGGCCATTACTTTGGTAAAATGCAATACAGAGTTATGAAACTTGAACGAACAGCATATCGGAATTGTGACCCTTCAAAAATAGTTTAAGTTTCAAGCAAATACCTTTTCTAGATTTAGAAATATTCAAATAAATGTTAAAATTTAAGAATATTTTCTAAGTCAGTTTTTGACCTTAAGCCAGCAAAAATGTGACATAAGTTCTGCACATCCCCTGGTTGAGATGAACATTTGAGCCAAGATTGAAGAAAATTTTTTAATTAGTGTAGGACTTACAGAGCGGACATGACATACTGTGTAATATTAGATTGTTTGATATTTGACCTTCAATTGTGACCTTGACCTTGAGCTGGCACATGGCCAACATGGATTCGGCACATTCCCATGTTGAGGTGAATATTTGAGCCAAGATTGAAGAAAATCTTTCAATTAGTGTAGGACTTACAGAGCGGACATGACGTACTGTGTAATATTTAATTGTTTGATATTTGACCTTCAATTGTGACCTTGACCTTGAGCTGACACATGGGCAACATGGATTCGGCACATCCCCTTGTTGAGGTGAATATTTGAGCCAAGTTTGAAGAAAATCTTTCTATTAGTGTAGGACTTACAGAGCGGACACAACATACTGTGTAATATTTGATTGTTTGATATTTGACCTTCAATTGTGACCTTGACCTTGAGCTGGCACATGGGCAACATGGGTTCCGCACATCCCCTTGTTGAGGTGAACATTTGAGCCAAGTTTGAAGAAAATCTTTCAAGTAGTGTAGGACTTACATAGCGGACACGACATACTGTGTAATATTTAATTGTTTGATATTTGACCTTCAATTGTGACCTTGACCTTGGGCTGACACATGGGCAACATGGGTTCTGCACATCCCCTGGTTGAGGTGAACATTTGAGCCAAGTTTGAAGAAAATCTTTCAAGTAGTGTAGGACTTACAGAGCGGACACGACATACTGTGTAATATTTGATAGTGTTTGATACTTGACCTTCAATTGTGACCTTGACCTTGAACTGACACATGGGCAATATGGGTTCTGCACATCCCCTTGTTGAGGTGAACATTTGAGCCAAGTTTGAAGAAAATCCTTCAATTGCTATAGGAGTTATAGAGCGGACACGAAAATGGAGACAGACTGACCGACCGACGCGACAAAGGGAATCCATTATAGCCCCCCCCACATTTTGTGGTGGGGGTATAACCAGAGGGATTTTATTTGAACAAAGTGGGTAGACACCCATTATAAGATATTTCATGCTTAAAGGGACTCCACTGAGGTTTTTTGACAGGATGAGACTGAAAATATTTTTTCCTGATAATTGTACCATTTGATGTAGGTTTAGACCATTAATCTTTGTGCAAAACTTCAGATCATCCTTGCACTTCGTTTTCCCCAAATAATTATTCAAATTGAAAAAGTATGACCCAAAATGAAAAGCGTTTAAACGCTTTTCACTCAAATCGGGCTAAGAAAAACATAAAAATACGATTTTCAATTTATTTCAAAGTATATTTCTTCACTATCTTTGCATATATTTCTGTTTAAAGTGCCCCAGCTCATTTATGTAATAAATTCAAATGTTATGTTTTCGGCTTTTTACCCTCCGTGGAGTCCCTTTGATATCTAAGCTTTAGCTCTTTGATTTAAAAAAAAGATTTTAAGTTTTTACTTCACACATATTGGGGAAACAATGAACCACCCCCCCATCCTGCAGGTCCAATTTTTACCCCAGGATTTTTATTGGAACAAACTTGGTTGACACTCACTCGATGGTGTTTCATGATTAGTATCTAAGCTCTAGCTTTTTGGGTTTTTATAAAGATAAGGGGTGAAACAGGTAGTGATAGATGTGTACTCGACTGATGACATGTACGTTCAGCAGTATATCTGTATTTTCAAACCATAAAGTCCAAATTTGTATAAAATATTTTAGTATGTATGATCAATAACTAATACGTAATTCACATATTTTCTAAATATGCATTGTCTTCAGACTGCAACATTGGGACCGACCAAGATACCCTGGTATTTTTGGTTGTTTTAATTTTGCAGGTTTGTTAAAGTGTTACCCTCAAAAGGAAATATAGGATCATTATTATCATACATGTATGTTAAATATTTTTACATACCAGTGCTCTTGGTCATCAAAAATAAAATGGTGTTTTCCCACTGAAAAAACAACAAAGAAATCTCCACATTTTTTCTTCTTTTTTTTCTTTCTTTTTCATAGTTTTCATGGACAGGTTAATCCACGATTTAAGTTAAATACACCACATCTAAACACAACATTTAAATCTATGAAAGTATAACTTTCTATAAAACCACTAATTTCATGCCCATGAAATTTAATGAATTCAATGAACTGCATGGTGATTAAACAGATTCACAGTATATTCTTTGGTCAATACCCCTGTTGCAATGTACAAAATTACATGATGCACTGCTAAATGTTTCCAGCAATAACATATGCTCACAATAGATTTTGAAAATGTCAAATAGAGTTTTACCTGAGAGTTTATGAAATTGACAGGTATAATTTTTCATTCTGTCTGTCATGTCCATGAAATTCTTCCTCTTAAAAAAGAATGTTAATGATTTTGAAACTAATTCTTTGAACTGATAAGACTTTGATGTTTAATATTCATCCTAGATATAAATAGCTGAGTTGTGACTATGAAATATTCATTTTAAGTGCCAACACAATATCATTTATTTTTAAATGTTACTTGACAGTTATGAAAAGAGTATAAGTATTAAGCAATTTATACTTAAAATGATTTTGTATGCATGAACAATATTTGGTAATAATTTGTTCAAAATATTTACTTCAATATAATTCTCATTGAGATGAAGATAAATATATTGATGCAAAAAGTACAGTATACAGTTATTTCATATGTGATTTGGGAACAGTCAAACTGTTGGCCCGAGGTGGAGGGGGGTAGTGTTTTGAACTGTTGCCCAAGGCCGTAGGCCGAGGGCAACAGTTCAAAAAACTATCCCCGACACCGACGGAGGACTGTTTGACTGTTCCCAAATCATGTATGAAATAACTGTTTTATTACCTGATCAACTACTGTTTTAATAGTACTTGCAGAAGGAAAAAGGAACAATTAAGAAAAGAGTTTTTTTCAAATATGTTAGTAATTAAACTTAATGCTTTAACTATGTCACATCACATCTGGTTTATGATCAAGATCGATGGACGCTTCAAGTGGGAATCCTCTATGACGTCAATGGCGTCAGAGCTCGCGAGGGAAACAGTCCAAACTATTGACCGGTCAACAGTTCGCGAACGTGGACGTTTTTAGAATTTCAGAAAACAGTAAAAAATACCAAATTACATTTATATAAGGTATCAGGTAATAATAATTATTAATTTATGTAATAACTGTCTTACCACTATCACTAATTGGTTGTTCTACAACTTCATCATTGGGTTGTTCATCATCATTTATAACTACCACCTAAATGTATATACATAAATTAAATATCATTTGTATGGAAGGAAGCAATCAAAAGCAAAAAATAATACACATTCTAAAGCCTCTTTGAAATTCATTTAACATCACATAAAATAAATGATTAGGAAATAGATATTTTAGTTCAATGTTGTTCTGAAGAAACACATTTCAATACACATTCTGTTCAATTATCCCATTACCCGATATACACACCTTTTAATGACTTTTTCGACCCCCCCTTTGTTTTTGTTGAGAAATGTGGATTAAAACAAGAGCTGTCTGTAGGACAGCACGCTCGACTATACAAGTCCGGCACCAAGTCGGAATGCAATTAGACCTATTTCGCTTCGTTTTTTTTTTTTTTATATATACTACGTTTGCGCTGAAAGTTTCTAAACGAAACCGGGTGCGACAATTGGCACTGTGTTCGAACCGTAGGTCCGATTCGCATGCAATTTGCACTGTTGGAATTGATAGAGGGTCTGGTACACAGCCTGCAAGTTTCATGGCCGTAGCCCAAATACAAGGCCGGCACCAAGTCGGAATGCAATTAGGCCTATTTCGCTTCGTTTTTGTTTTTTTATATACGTTTGCGCTGGAAGTTTCTAAACGAAACCGGGTGCGACAATTGGCACTGTGTTCGAACCGTAGGTCCGATTCGCATGCAATTTGCACTGTTGGAATTGGAAGAGGAAGTAGTACACAGCCTGCAAGTTTCATGGCCGTAGCCCAAATACAAGGCCGGCACCAAGTCGGAATGCAATTAGGCCTATTTCGCTTCGTTTTTGTTTTTTTATATACGTTTGCGCTGAAAGTTTCTAAAAGAAAACGGGTGCGACAATTGGCACTGTGTTCGAACCGTAGGTCCGATTCGCTTGCAATTTGCACTGTTGGAATTGTAAGAGGAAGTAGTACACAGCCTGCAAGTTTCATGGCCGTAGCCCAAATACAAGGCCGGCACCAAGTCGGAATGCATTAGGCCTTTTTCGCTTCGTTTTTGTTTTTTTATATACGTTTGCGCTGAAAGTTTCTAAAGAAAGCGGGTGCGACAATTGGCACTGTGTTCGAACCGTAGGTCCGATTCGCATGCAATTTGCACTGTTGGAATTGTAAGAGGAAGTAGTACACAGCCTGCAAGTTTCATGGCCGTAGCCCAAATACAAGGCCGGCACCAAGTCGGAATGCATTAGGCCTTTTTCGCTTCGTTTTTGTTTTTTTATATACGTTTGCGCTGAAAGTTTCTAAACGAAAACGGGTGCGACAATTGGCACTGTGTTCGAACCGTAGGTCCGATTCGCATGCAATTTGCACTGTTGGAATTGGAAGAGGAAGTAGTACACAGCCTGCAAGTTTCATGGCCGTAGCCCAAATACAAGGCCGGCACCAAGTCGGAATGCATTAGGCCTTTTTCGCTTCGTTTTTGTTTTTTTTATATACGTTTGCGCTGAAAGTTTCTACAGAAAGCGGGTGCGACAATTGGCACTGTGTTCGAACCGTAGGTCCGATTCGCATGCAATTTGCACTGTTGGAATTGGAAGAGGGTCTAGTACACAGCCTGCAAGTTTCATGGCCGTAGCCCAGATACAAGGCCGGCACCAAGTCGGAATGCAATTAGACCTATTTCGCTTCGTTTTTGTTTTTTTATATACGTTTGCGCTCAAACTTTCTAAAAAAAACGGGTGCGACAATTGGCACTGTGTTCGAACCGTAGGTCCGATTCGCATGCAATTTGCACTGTTGGAATTGGAAGAGGAAGTAGTACACAGCCTGCAAGTTTCATGGCCGTAGCCCAAATACAAGGCCGGCACCAAGTCGGAATGCATTAGGCCTTTTTCGCTTCGTTTTTGTTTTTTTTATATACGTTTGCGCTCAAAGTTTCTACAGAAAGCGGGTGCGACAATTGGCACTGTGTTCGAACCGTAGGTCCGATTCGCATGCAATTTGCACTGTTGGAATTGGAAGAGGAAGTAGTACACAGCCTGCAAGTTTCATGGCCGTAGCCCAGATACAAGGCCGGCACCAAGTCGGAATGCAATTAGACCTATTTCGCTTCGTTTTTGTTTTTTTATATACGTTTGCGCTCAAACTTTCTAAAAAAAACGGGTGCGACAATTGGCACTGTGTTCGAACCGTAGGTCCGATTCGCATGCAATTTGCACTGTTGGAATTGGAAGAGGGTCTAGTACACAGCCTGCAAGTTTCATGGCCGTAGCCCAGATACAAGGCCGGCACCAAGTCGGAATGCAATTAGACCTATTTCGCTTCGTTTTTGTTTTTTTATATACGTTTGCGCTCAAACTTTCTAAAAAAAAACGGGTGCGACAATTGGCACTGTGTTCGAACCGTAGGTCCGATTCGCATGCAATTTGCACTGTTGGAATTGGAAGAGGAAGGAGTAGACAGCCAGTAAGTTTCATGGCCGTAGCCCAAATACGAGGCCGGCACCAAGTCGGAATGCAATTAGGCCTATTTCGCTTCATTTTTGTTTTTATATATACGTTTGCGCAGAAATTTTCTAAATGGAAACGGGTGCGACAATTGGCACTGTGTTCGAACCGTAGGTCCGATTCGCATGCAATTTGGACTGTTGGAATTGTAATAGGAAGGAGTAGACAGCCAGTAAGTTTCATGGCCGTAGCCCAAATACGAGGCCGGCACCAAGTCGGAATGCAATTAGGCCTATTTCGCTTCGTTTTTGTTTTTTTATATACGTTTGCGCTCGAAGTTTCTAAAAAAAACGGGTGCGACAATTGGCACTGTGTTCGAACCGTAGGTCCGATTCGCATGCAATTTGGACTGTTGGAATTGTAAGAGGAAGGAGTAGACAGCCAGTAAGTTTCATGGCCGTAGCCCAAATACGAGGCCGGCACCAAGTCGGAATGCAATTAGGCCTATTTCGCTTCATTTTTGTTTTTATATATACGTTTGCGCTGAAAGTTTCTAAAAAAAAAACGGGTGCGACAATTGGCACTGTGTTCGAACCGTAGGTCCGATTCGCATGCAATTTGCACTGTTGGAATTGAAGAGGAAGGAGTAGACAGCCAGTAAGTTTCATGGCCGTAGCCCAAATACGAGGCCGGCACCAAGTCGGAATGCAATTAGGCCTATTTCGCTTCGTTTTTGTTTTTTTTTATATACGTTTGCGCTGAAAGTTTCTAAACGAAACCGGGTGCGACAATTGGCACTGTGTTCGAACCGTAGGTCCGATTCGCATGCAATTTGCACTGTTGGAATTGATGAAGGGTCAGGTACACAGCCTGCAAGTTTCATGGCCGTAGCCCAGATACAAGGCCGGCACCAAGTCGGAATGCATTAGGCCTTTTTCGCTTCGTTTTTTTTTTTATATACGTTTGCGCTGAAAGTTTCTAAACGAAACCGGGTGCGACAATTGGCACTGTGTTCGAACCGTAGGTCCGATTCGCATGCAATTTGCACTGTTGGAATTGGAATGGTCAGGTACACAGCCTGCAAGTTTCATGGCCGTAGCCCAGATACAAGTCCGGCACCAAGTCGGAATGCAATTAGACCTATTTCGCTTCGTTTTTTTTTTTTTATATACGTTTGCGCTGAAAGTTTCTAAAAAAAAACGGGTGCGACAATTGGCACTGTGTTCGAACCGTAGGTCCGATTCGCATGCAATTTGCACTGTTGATGAAGGGTCAGGTACACAGCCTGCAAGTTTCATGGCCGTAGCCCAGATACAAGTCCGGCACCAAGTCGGAATGCAATTAGACCTATTTCGCTTCGTTTTTTTTTTTTATATACGTTTGCGCTGAAGTTTTCTAAACGAAACCGGGTGCGACAATTGGCACTGTGTTCGAACCGTAGGTCCGATTCGCATGCAATTTGCACTGTTGGAATTGGAAGAGGAAGTAGTACACAGCCTGCAAGTTTCATGGCCGTAGCCCAAATATAAGGCCGGCACCAAGTTGGAATGCAATTAGGCCTTTTTCGCTTCGTTTTTTTTTTTTATATACGTTTGCGCTGGAAGTTTCTAAACGAAACCGGGTGCGACAATTGGCACTGTGTTCGAACCGTAGGTCCGATTCGCATGCAATTTGCACTGTTGGAATTGATGAGGGTCAGGTACACAGCCTGCAAGTTTCATGGCCGTAGCCCAGATACAAGTCCGGCACCAAGTCGGAATGCAATTAGACCTATTTCGCTTCGTTTTTTTTTTTTATATACGTTTGCGCTGGAAGTTTCTAAACGAAACCGGGTGCGACAATTGGCACTGTGTTCGAACCGTAGGTCCGATTCGCATGCAATTTGCACTGTTGGAATTGGAAGAGGAAGTAGTACACAGCCTGCAAGTTTCATGGCCGTAGCCCAAATATAAGGCCGGCACCAAGTCGGAATGCAATTAGACCTATTTCGCTTTTTTTTTTTTTTATATACGTTTGCGCTGAAAGTTTCTAAAAAAAACGGGTGCGACAATTGGCACTGTGTTCGAACCGTAGGTCCGATTCGCATGCAATTTGCACTGTTGGAATTGATGAAGGGTCAGGTACACAGCCTGCAAGTTTCATGGCCGTAGCCCAGATACAAGTCCGGCACCAAGTCGGAATGCAATTAGACCTATTTCGCTTCGTTTTTTTTTTTTTATATACGTTTGCGCTGGAAGTTTCTAAAAAAAACGGGTGCGACAATTGGCACTGTGTTCGAACCGTAGGTCCGATTCGCATGCAATTTGCACTGTTGGAATTGGAAGAGGATCTAGTACACAGCCTGCAAGTTTCATGGCCGTAGCCCAAATACAAGGCCGGCACCAAGTCGGAATGCAATTAGGCCTTTTTCGCTTCGTTTTTTTTTTTATATACGTTTGCGCTGGAAGTTTCTAAACGAAACCGGGTGCGACAATTGGCACTGTGTTCGAACCGTAGGTCCGATTCGCATGCAATTTGCACTGTTGGAATTGGAAGAGGAAGTAGTACACAGCCTGCAAGTTTCATGGCCGTAGCCCAAATATAAGGCCGGCACCAAGTCGGAATGCAATTAGGCCT